ATTAACTACACGGCAATGAGTCGGCTTGAGAGGAAGCACATCACCACCGGTGAAGTGAGGGATCGTCCAAGCCCTTGAAAATGGAGAAGGCAAATGACTATGATGACAGAGTCCTTATTCGTCTCGTAAGACGCAAACCAATGACTCTCGATAGAGTGAGTGAGTGAATTTAGTTTTTCATCGCACGCAGCAATATTCCAGCTATATGTCGGCGATCTGTAAATAATCGAGTCTGGACCAGGCAATCTAGTGATCAACATCACGAGCACCGATCTACTCAATTGGGACCCGGTGACATGTATAAACCAAGTCAGCGGGCCTGACAACCTGATCCCGTTGGTCGCCTCTTATAACCATCATGGGTTTCTAAATACCAATTCAAACCGGATCTTCACGGGTCAATGCTCATGTATATATGTTAGCTAATGTGACTAAAACAATACAACACTCAATGTACACTGTTTACTATGGTGGATTTACCAGGGTTAAAACCAGGTATTCGTGTTCATGGTTACATGTATTTCAGACGTTTGGCCTTTGTGTTGTATCTGGAATACATGAACGAAATGATGTAATGTGATTTGTCAGATAAACTGTGAACAGTTCACAAACTACTATTGTGAATCTTCTTATCACAAGTCGCCGTCATCCAAAGTCGGTTGACTAATTTACTGTGAAATGGTGTTTAGCACAGTGAACCAAGCAATGCAGATTTAGATGTTTCCTTGATTCTTTTCGTCACGCTTCGGTAATATTCCAACCTGTACATAGTCAACTCTTGGTTATTGTAATGGCCAACGTTGTTTTATTTTATTACTGGTAAATGCTATTTACAGTTTCAGTTTTATTTTTCATACCTGGATTTGAACCCATATCTCTTTATTTTTATTCAGGTTTTTGTTAGACTTTATTACCAGGGGCGGGTAACTCTTTAGCCATTGGCGGGTTACTGTAATTATTTACAATTATCATTTGTAATTTTCTCAGTAATTTCTATTATTTTCTTTGGTATTTATGTGGGTAATTTAAATCAAAATCACCCTTTACTTTGTTTTAGTTAATCTGACTAAAAGAAATTAGATGTAGAACTGACTGTGTTTTGGAAAGAAATTAGAACTTGGAACTTAGAACTTCATTGTTTTGGGAAACTGAATCTCTGTGTTTGAAAATTTAGAAATGAGGTTGATTGAGAATGAACTTGAACTTTCATGAGTATTTTGAAGAATGGAATAAGGAGAGAGATTTATAATTTGAGGGAAATGAATTGGAACTATTATGACCTTCAACATATTGAGTGACCTCGAGATGACATAATGATACAATGAGAAGTAGGAATAAGAAATAAACGTCCTGAACCTAGATGGACTTTTTTATTTTTCACACAAACAGTTATGCAAACCAACTGTACGTCATCGGCAGCCCGGTAAGTTTATCACACATTGTTGGGACGACTTTAACATGCTTTCCAGCATCATACCTCGTGAGAATGATGCGCTGGATATCTTAACTAAAATGTCAAGTTTGTTTACGTTTTGTTATAGTTAATACCGTCGTTAAGTTAACTTGCTTTGCGATGACATAGAAAACGATGAAAATAGTGACTATATTCTTCTTAAATGTATTATCTCATTATATGATCTGAATGTACACGTACTGTGACAGTTTATTGGCGAGGGTGAGTATGAGTGGACAGAGGATATATGTTATACCTCGGCTTGTTGGTTGGTTGGTTGTTTACAGCAATATTACAACCATATGGCGGCGATCTGTAAATAATTCAGTCTGGGCCAGACAATCCAGTGATCGACATCATGAAATCGATCTAGGCAATTGGGAACCGATGACATGTGTCAAACAAACAGTCCGATACCATTAGTCGCCTCTTACGAAAAGCCTGGTTTGCTGGAGATAAACCCTGTACAGTAACCCAGTAAACGGTTTTTACAGGACTGACGTAGTTTGGTTTTACGCCGCTTTTAGCAATATTCCAGCAACATCACGGCTGGGGACACCAGAAGTTTTTAAAGGAAGTATTGGTACCAAAGGTATATGGACTCGGCATCTGAAATAATATAACAAGCGAAGAAGACCCTAAATAACGCATATATTTATAACAATAACACACTAATGACTGTGAAAATACAGATAGGTGAACTCGATGTCTGGTATATTAATGTGGTTCCACATGAATGTTATATTTGATTTCTATGGTGTGGTATCTGGGTTTGTTTTCTGTTACACATCTTCATATTTTAGGGCCGCTTGATGCAGTCGACGATGCACGCCTATTCAATAAACCTAACAAGTCAGTTTCATACGAATGAGAAAAGATTCAGTTTCACACTTTTTCAAACTTTCGGAATAAGGAAATACCTATACCTATTGTAATATCTCTGACATTTAAAAGTGATTATCATTTGTGGTATTAATAGATACACGACATTTCAGGGTATATTCTCGGGTGAATGAAAGCAAGGAAGCGGGGCGCATGTGTACATGTGATAACATAAACATGTGCTGAGATAAACAGACACTTTACATGGTAAGCCAGTTGGGTGATTGGCTTTGACTGGTAATAGCAATGCACAAATGGAACCCTGAAGTGTAAACTTATACGTTCAGAGTTGGTAAAAGACAGAGGAGGGGTGGGTTAGCCGTGATTAGAGGTCGTGATCAGATCAACGTTCTTTGCTTCCTATGCTGTTATTCGCCTGATAAAGAAGTAAGAATACCTCTGTTCTTCATAATCCAGAAGTTGATATCCATAATCTTCCTCCTTCATCTTTCCAAAACGGCAAATGATGAAACATTTAAAGCATGTTTACCATATTAACTCAAACACAGTACGTTGTGGAGGGAATGTCTTTCAGTGAGTCAGTGAGTATGGTTGTACGCCTCGTCATTTCCGGGTGCTTCACCCGAGGAACATATTTCTCACTGTGACAGCAAACGGCTTTCAACAGAAGGCCATTGTCCAGACGACTCAGTCAACTCGGTGTCCGAGCCTGTGGGCTGTTCAAGGACATGACGTTAACGCTTGAACAGAAATTGGCGATGGAATTTGACAAATATGTTCTGGTCTCCAGTAAAAAACATTTTCAATGATTTACATTGAAACGTGTTTATAAATATCGGGTCATCATTATTGAACCAGATTCGCTTGTTCTGACGCTTGATATTTGTTTATAGTGTCTACATGAAGGTTACATGTAGTTAATACACTGAAGTGCAAATATGTATCGACCTTTTTGATCTTTGGTGATGATGTGTTGGGATACGACGATGATGTCAATATTTTAGTTTGTTATTATGTACTTCGATTTCAATATTTGATTTCTATTCATAGTTCCTTGTGTCGGAGCACGTTCATCCCCAAAGACAGTGGGACCAATCAGTGCCTCATGGGCCAGCTGCGCTACCTGAGGAATGTTAACCTTATATATAGCTTTTAGCAATATTCCAGCAATATCACGGCAGGTGACACCAGAAATGGGCTTCGCACATTGTACCCATGTGGGGAATCGAACCCGGGTCTTCGGCGTGACGAGCGAACGCTTTAACCACTGGGCTACCCCCACCGCCCCTTTCAGTGAGTGAGTATCCTTTTAATCTGCTTTCAGAACAAGCGATAACTAAATACACTACCGAGTAAAGATTGTATATACAAATTTTTGATGATAGTTAGAAAAGAGCCAGTCAAAAGATGATAACCGATGGTGATGTTTTTGAGACAAGTACCACTTACTTTCAGACCTGCAGTGTTTCGGCGAAGATCTAACATTTTAGGTCAAATTCAATTTCCAAGTGTACTCATTATTTGTCAGCCATTAAATTTATTAGTAAATACATAGTAATACGCTGAATATGATATCTGTTATAAAACGCAAAATGAAAATATTTTCAAGCTATATTTTATTCAAAACACATATGACAAGATCTTCAAGCAAGAGCGAAACTTTATATATCTTGTCAACGAAAGCATATAAGAATAGCCATGGCTCATTATTAACACTGCTACAAAGAAGTACATATAAAAAGGTGGGCCATTGAGTATGTTGTTCTCGAAACGTAAACGTATACACTGTACAAAGAGCCTAACCATAGATTATAGACCCATCTTTTCAAAACAACAACTAAAGAACTAACTGTACATTTGTCACGAATGTGCAATATTTGAACAAATATAAACATTCACAGCCGTTAGATGTAATGTACCCATAAGAATAACACAAATCACAAATCTACAAAAGTATTCAAACGTCAAGGCATATTTTACACCAAATCATTTACACAATACTACGAAGCCACTTTAAACAGAACGTCATACCATGTATACAGATCTTTTCGCTGTTTAACACCACACTGACAATTAGTCCAGCTGGTACTCATTTATTAGCACTAAAGTCTCACCTACATTCTACAAGTCTAAAATAACGGATATCTAAAATATAGAAGCCAAACAACAAGTTTCAAAGGGAGTAATGCTAAACCCGCACTTCTAAAGGAGATAGAAAACCCTAAAAATAGCACTTAGTTTGCAAACGTACTACCCAAAGTCAACTTCGGCGCTTATTAAAATGTAATAGTCCTTTTCAAACGTCATCATGATATCACAGCTGTCTAGTTTCAGAAGGCTGAAGTTTGTATTGGTTGATATCTTCGTCTGTCAGTGCTGGACAACGAAAATGGACTTTTCCCCATTTATGAAAACGATACTGCCTTCCGCTGGAATTGTAAGTCATGAAGTTGACGATGGAAATGCACGCAACTTTGATCTCCTTGTACATAACACCACTGCCCCACCTGCACTGACATCTCTTACAATGAACAGCGCTAACTTTCCGCATATGGTCAAAGACATCTTTTCTTTCGGGTACCTGTTCGCCAATCACGTTCCAAACGTTTGGAGTCATAACAAGTCGAAAGGAGCCTTCAACTACTCTTATATCGCTTGACAAGAAAGCAAACACATTGCAATTATAACAATGAATCTTGTATACATCGTCAGTGCTTGGCTGCTCTGCTGTTTGGATTCTTTCAGTTTCCCTGGACACCTTGTTCTCCTTCTGGAAATTTTCAATTTGTTGACGAAATGCTAAAGGGTCTTTCTGAATCTGTTCCTGTAGCATACTGATAGCTTCATCCATGACCGTTTCCAGGCGCATGTTGCTCTCTTCCTTCCTTCGAAGATCGTCTTTGCTGGTGAGTGTGACGTATGTTCCATCTGGAACTCGTGATGCTCTTCCTGTGGAGTATATTAAAAGGGTGACTTAGAAAGTGACCTGAAGAGTCCCTGAAACCAATATTTTGCAACTGTCAAAATAAAGGTTAGTTCCCACATGTCTTAGAAACTTAGGCTGTAACTGTACTGAACATTTTACAAAAGCATTTAATTGGAATAAGTTGTTTCAACTTCATTTAGAGAATAGTATACGTGTACAGAGTTTCATTGTGCTTCAAAGCTTGCATGAACATGTTCACCTTGCCGTCAGACAAGGGGACACGCTTACTCTTTTCCTTTTCACAACATTTATTAAAGAATGTTGATTCTATGAAAACCAGTACCAATATTGTCTCAGACCTTTTGAAACTTGAACAAAGGGGGAGGTTCTATGGATATACAATTTCTTTATCATTAATGTAATACTAATATAACTTTCCCCTTGTACACCACACCAACCTCTACATTCAGCTCAAAGATCAACTCTTTAGACGCATGTATACGTTCTCCATTATAATAATAATAGGCCATCTATAAAATGCCTTTCCACGTCACAGGGATATGCTCAAAGCGCATTATAAGATGTATGTATAACATGAATCTCGACATGACACCAGGACAGTCTGGTGGGTTCAAACTCATCCTGAGTAGGACCCTTTGTTTGCCAGCGTCACATCCGTGCTTGGTATACCCTCGTAAGGAAATGAATATACATGTACAGTAGCTTGAACATCAACATGACGCCATAACAGTCGTACATATATCGGTTATTTTCTGACAAATGGATTCTCTCCCCCGCCCCCCTCTCTCTCTCTCACACACACACAATCACAATACGCTTATCAATTATATCTGAAGGACCAGTGTTTCGTCAGCTGAGAAATGTACGTTAATTGATGGCTGGAGGTAAAACGAACTCAGATTGGGATTCACGTTGATATCAGGTGCAGATTCGGCCTTTAGCTTCTCAAGGTTATCTGCAAATTGACATAATATATATTACGGAAAGGTTTTCTGGGATAACATTTGTGTATCAAGTTTCATAAAGTTAACTCCCAATCTTTAACATGTTGTCTTGCTGCTTCGATTGTGAAAAGTGGGAAGGTGTCCTTTTGAGATGTTTAAAAGCATTGGATTGAACTCACATCAGTCCGTAGTGGTGCAAATCTTACACATTTAGCACATTTGCGTAACTCACGAGTGTGTGAGCTTAGTTTTACGCCGCCCTCGGCAATATTCTAGTTATATGGCGCGGTCTGTAAATAATCGAGTCTGGACCAGTCAATTCAGTGATCAAAAGCATGAGCATCGATCTACGCAATTGGTGTACTGGCAGGGGGACCTGGGTTCCTTACAGCAATAAACATTTTACCTAAAAAGAATAACTATAGTCTGTTTGCAGTGAAAACGTACCGATGAATTCTGAGATTTAAATGGTCAGTTGGCAATTATGAGGATTTGCAATCTTAATTTGATCTTATTCGATTTACTTTTTTGTTTAAATTGACATTCATCGGTACGTTTTCAATGCAAACAGACTATATATGGCTATTATAACTAGAGTGTAGAGGATATGTTACTTCTGTGGTTGCATCTTACCGGTGTAGAGAGAGTAGAGCTTCTCGTCAGTAGGTGTTCTGAACTGTTTAGCAGGACATATGGTATTCATCTGTGACAGGATATAGTTCATGGCATCATGTGTTCGGCAATCCATGTTGAGGGCCAGGGCTTGATTGTAGACCTGCAAAATATATACAACAAACAGTTACGTAACGTCAATATTAGGTATGACTTTACAATCAGGACACACAATACTGAATGTCAAAATAAATTTAGAAATTCCAAAATACACAGTGGCTTGGTGGACTGCAGTTATTTCATGTCATGTCTGTGAAAAGTGTAGAAGATAGGTAGGTATATTTTGATTACACTGTCAATATATGTGAACATCAGTAATTATAACAAAAGAAGAAGATGAAATTTCAGATTTGGCATCTTGACTCACGAGCTTTTGCTATGAAGTTATTTTTTCTGCAGCCGTTTGGTTATATATTTTCCTTCGCATAAACACTTAAATTCGACTTTCTTTGCAGTGTCGATGAAAATATGCAGCTTAAAGCGTTTAAATGGGGACAGTATACTTTACATCAATTTATGACTGTTATTAAAATGTCCAAATACATGTTTGCTTCCCATTTGTACTTACTCTAAGATGATTAACACAAGTCCTCTTTATCTGGAGGAACTTGTCACTGTATAGCTTATCGAGCCACTGTGTGTACCAACTTGTTCCCTTGGCCTGACACGAGACTATGTCTTTTATATGCGTGAGTTGATCCTCCGCTGATGTAATAGAACAGTACTTTAATGAACCCTCGATATCAGCCTCGGGCCACATTCAAAGGGTGTTGTTAATTGATTAATTGAAGTAGCTTCTGTAACGACGGGGAAAACGGTGGATTTTACACCTTGTACTTGTGTTTGAATGAAATCAGAACCATTGCTTCAAAAGGACTCCACAACAACACTCCCATTTGTAGTGAGTGAGTGGGTCGGGTTTCTACGCCGCTGTTAGCAGTATTCCAGGAATATCACGGCGGGTTAACATCGGAAATGGGCTTTACACATTGTACCAATGTGGGGAATCGGCGTGACGATCGAACGCTGAAACCCCTGTGCTACCTCCACTCCCATTTGAAATTGATTTATAATGACACCAAAAAGTACGTGTAATGACACCAACAATTAAGTTATTATTTAGAAAATTCCTTGGGAATAGGCAATGTTCAACACACTTATTCCAATAATGTTAAACCTTCAACTGCAATCTCTCAGCCATTCGATAGTTCAGTATAACGTTGGATCTATAACCTCCTGCAACACGACAGGGCCGTGATACAATAAATAGCGTGACAAGAAGAAAGTTAACACAATCTTACACTTGCGGTGCTTTTCTATGATTTCTTCCTCTATAGGTTCCATGATACATTTCACAATGCAGTCTTTAAAAGGGTCAGATATTCTTTCCTTTGCCACCTCGATCGCTGAAACAGAAAGTATTAATCTATATAATATTGTAAATGCGGTATGTGAACATTAGGAATTCAACTTCGTCACTCTTATCTTCCACAACCCGTAAAAGATCTTCAGTAACCCATGCTTGTCGTAAGTGGCGATTAACGGGATCGGGTGGTCAGGCTGGCTGACTTGGTTGACACACGTCATCGTATCCCAATTGCGTAGATCGATATTCATGCTGTTGATTGTCCGGTCCAAACCGGATTATTTACAGACCACCGTCATATAGTTGAAATATTGCTGAGTGCGGCGTAAAACTACACTCACTCACATATCTTCCAAAATATATGGTAATCGGCCACCTTATTGTTGGAATCTGCAACACGTATTCCCTTCATCGTTCATCCTGAACCACATTCTTCCATTAATACATCATTTGAAACATACCACTTTCCACATGATTCGCATATTCAGCCAGACTGTCTTTGTGTTCTCGGACAGTGACTATCCCTCCCTTGGCATCCATGTTTGCGCACAGATGGATAATGTGTTTCAGAGCACCTCCAGTCCCCTCACTTTCTTTCATCTTCCCCACTCCGACAGACGCTGTGAGACCGACCACCTGCAGGTAAAAACCGAACTCTCTCTCGGACCACATATCAGAGATACCTACATTCTCTTCCCACAGAGGTTACTTGTCATATCTTCCTAAGAACCTCTGTTCTACTCCGGCCATATTTCCCCGGTTCTCGAAAAATCCCCTAGCGCCAAAAAGTCGCAACACGAATTATCTCCCGTCTTCCTATCCAATCAGAACAGGTGTTACATAGACTAGATCCGCCACTGCAGTATTTCAGATAAAGCACGGCAGTTCCACAAAAAGATGAGTTTCACAAATTACACTTTTATTCGGATCACACCCAGTTTTCTGGACGATTAGGTGACACAGCCGTATTCATCCAATTTCAATACAGCACAAATAATTACCTGTGGTAGCTGTACATTTCCTGCTGAGGACTGTTTCATTTCCATATAGTGACTCATTATTTTGTTTGTAGGATGTTTCTCACGGATATGATGACACTCGTCGAAGATGACGAGGCTGAAGACAGAGAGGGATTCCAGGGTCTTTTTCTCTAGGGCATCGACGATGATCTGTGGCGTCATCACAAGCAGGTCACTTCTAAAAAAGAAGATAGTTACAGATTAACGTTTGACAATGGCCTATCAACATTATATCAAGCGAGTGGGGATATACAATCATCAGAAAATAATTATGCACGACTGTCATGGCGTCAAGTTGACGTTCAAGCTACTGTACATATATATCCATTCCCTTGTAAGGTTACTCCAAGCACGGATTTGAGGCTGACAAACAAAGGGGGTCCTATTCAGAGTGAGTTCGAACCCATCAAAGATCTGTTGTAGATACTCACTGTGCTATCAGCTCCTTGGTGCTGACTGGAGTCTTGTACTTGGTTTCTCCAACAATCTTTGTACTTTTGTACTTGGAATCAAGATGTCCTTGGCATAATTCATGCTGCTGGTCCACCAAGGTCACCTCGTTAGCGAAAAATTTTATTTTGCTCGGCAAGCCTTTATCCTTCATTTTTGTCAGGTGTTCCTGCAAAAGGAGAACAATATTTAATAATGAATAGATAATTCAGAGAAACAGAGAAGTTTGCAGCTGAGCATTTTCCCCAGGACAAAATGTCCTACGTTCCTTGTCGAACTGCAAAATACTATTAAAAGATCTATCATGAAAGTGAACATGAATAATTTCAATCGTTCATCATCTGGAGAGGTATTTGTATCACATGCGAACGACGGCAGCTCCATCCCAACCGTTTTCTATAATGCCCTAACATTTTCCCGTATGCGGTACCATTTGGACCTTTCTTATAAAGTAGCCAATATGTGTCTTTAATCGATTGAATCATCACATCGTTTGTAATTCTATATTGCTCTTCCGACTTACCTCCCCTCTGAGTTTAAGATGAATATATTTATGACTTTTAAGTATATTTATAAATCTTGTTCCTCCAGCTATCATAATAAAGTGCACAGTGACAAAGGAGGACGATAACATATGACGAGCTTAATAAATGAAACAAATAATCAATATATCAATGTGTGGAAAAGTCAAATCAGATCAAATGAGATGTTCTTAGGCATCTGAACCAGACACTCTACCTGGATTATTCTCAAAGCCACCACCATCTTCCCGCAGCCAGTTGGTGCGACGATGACGAAGTTTCCCCCACCGGCTGCTGATCGCACCAACTCGTCCTGGTAGGGTCTGTTCTCAAGGCGCTGGATCTTGTCACGTTCAGTCGACATTTCGAGAGTCACTGTTAAGTCATCCATGTCAAATCCATCCCAAAGTGTATTGTCTTCACAGGTTGAACCAGTCCCTGTGCTCATGTCGTCACGGATGTCTTTCCTTTCAGTCTGAACTGTAATAAATAGTGGGTATAAAATGTATTATTCCAGCTTCGTTGGAACTATGTGTCATTTTAATGAAGGTGCGCCAGAGTGACGCGTGTTGGGATGGGAGGGTGTGTTTGGCGGTGGCAACTGCAACTTATGGCATACTTATGACTTGGACAAACCAAGAATTCTAGTGTCTGGGATTGGACAAATCCTTCCACGCCTGGTGGGATTGCTGGTAAAGGATTCCTCTCCTCAACAGACATCTCATGAGATGATACAGTGTTGTTGTGTATTTTTGGCACAAAAAGGCAGATAAAATATCAAGCACTGAAGATTTTGTTTGAAAATATTACCGTTGCGCATTCGAATTTCTGTTTGAAAGATGTTCACTGAATAAGTTATTAGATTCTGCAATTAAAGGTATGCATGCATAATTGAAGTTCATTCATTTTTGTGGCGTACATGACATAATATTTGTGATATGTCTGAGTCTGATAGACAAACTACCACAAGGCAGTGGTGACAGGCATACATGCTTTAAAATATGTATAACAAGTAACAGATGATGCCACTGAGGCTCAATATCGTAGACGGGTTTAGGTGACTCACTGACTGCTATATTCAGCATGTTATATATTTCTCTAGAATACAAACTCCATTAAGTCTTCCATCAGATTTCGTGATCCTTATTCATTGCTTATGTTGAGGCCGGTGGGCAATCTAGAGTGAGTGACTTTAGTTTTACACCGCTTTTAGCAATATTCCAGCAATATCACGGCGGGGGACACCAGAAATGGGCTTCACACATTGCACCCATGTGGGGAATCGAACCCGGGTCTTCGGCGTGATGAGCGAACGCATTAACCACTAGGCTATCCCACCGCCCTGGGCAGTCAAGAAATTAAAATGTTCGCATGTAATGCTTAAATTACAGGTTCCATTACAACTGGGTACAATATTAATGTGTGAAGCCTATTTCTAAATAGGCTTCACACAATATAATATAGGTAAAAATATGAAATAATCACTCACTCAATACATGCAAATATGAAAAGTCGATGAATAATAACTCGGGATTAGTTATTTAAGTTGAAATCCTCATGCAACTGGTAATTCGATTGTTACATTAGACACTCACTGTAATGGTTCAGTCTGTACAGCCACATACCTTTGTGCAGCACGTCCTTTTGAAAATGTCAGGATATGACCTTTTACTGAGATTAAGGAAGCTATAACGCGAAATTTCGAGAAAATATTTGTAATATAGGTAAGGTACTTGAAACCAGAGAGAATGCAGTCAAAAGTTTGATCTTGCAACTCGCACAACTTACACTGCATGTAAGTGAATACTTACCCAACCAATCGTCCTACACGAGTCTTGGAAATAGCAATTTAAAATCAAGTCTTTTACTGATGTCCTCGGAGAAGAACTGGATAATTCTAAGATGCTCCTTGTGGGTCTCTACGTCGAGAGTGCTCTCGCCTCTGAGCACTTTAGCTATGTAGTCGTACCCTGAACAGATTTGCATAACTTCTTATTTTCATTTATATTAATATTTCACACTTAGCAATGGTAGCTGTATTGTATTGTTTCGGTTAAGAGACACTGGATGCCTGTTAGATGGTGTTGGAAAATGCTATTTTTATAGCATGGATTGCTATCTCTTGTCAACAGTGCAAGTACAGAAGTTGTAATATACAGGCCAAGTTTGATCTGAAATAATGTGGAAGAGCACAGGTTAATCTGGTATAGTATAAAACAGTCATGAGGGTGCTGCAGGCTACATATGAGGGCAAGCACAAGCCTCTGTCATTTCACATAACATCTAGACCAGAATTTGTATGAAGATCATCTTTTCAGCCTGGCCATCCAGCCTTGGTTCATTTTGAAAGCTTGGACTCTGCTGCTACCAGATTACTGACTCTATAGCTATTACTGTTGTATTTTGCGGTTGTAATGCCACTAGTTTATCATCCAATACTGGTTTGGTTTGTAGAAAATCAGGCGATATTTCCTAGGAGATTTCGTTTTGGTATGTTTTGAACTAATTGTTGATTGGTCAATACTTTCGGACTACTTTCATCGCCCTTAGTTATTTTTGTTCATGATATGTTCTAATGACCTGAGACTTTACTTAAAATGCCATCAGGAAATGATGAAACTTATGGATTGCAGACTTTAAAACAATATATGGTAGCACTACTTTTTTGTGCTTGTTTTTTATGACGTGATGGTGTCACTTGTTCCCTCTTCCATCATTCTTGTTCACTTGGATGTGTTCATACTCAAGTCTTCAAATGAACTTGTTACAGCTGACATAACGTTTTAATTTGTCTTGAACGATAAATATAGTATGATACTGGACTGACTGACTGAGTATGGTTTTACGCCGTTTTTAGCAATATTCCAGCAATATCACGGCGGGGGGCACCCGAAATGGGCTACACAAATTGTACCCATGTGGGGAATCGAACCCGGGCCTTCGGCGTGTATGATATTGGATGATAAAAAGAATCTCACCCTCGTGTCTTTAGATATCAAATATATCCTCACTCGTTGATATAAGTGATATAACTCGTTGTGACATATTTGATGTCGAAAGACACTGCGCGTGGGATTCTCTACATGTACAGCCATTATAATAACTTTTTTTAAAATTTGTTTCAATTTGCAAAACTACCTACTTTCATATTACAATTGTGAAATTGTACAACATTTCTTTGTTGTTCGTTGTTTTCACCCTGAATTCCTTTACGTACAGATTTATGGGTCAGCTTATTGTTTCAATTTGGAAATCGACACGTAACAGGTGCCAGTATGAACTTATACGAAATGATTATGTGAGAAATGTATGTCATATTCCAAACCAATGCCTGAATGATGTTGTGACATATTGCCTAAATCGTGCCTAACAAGATGTGAAATAAAAGATCATGACAAATGTGTGTAGATATAACACATGTATACAATCAATATTGGTGGGTGTCGACTCGATACGCATCAGAATAGATCCAGATCTACATGTATCGCGAAACACGGAATCAGTTGGAACTGTCGTTTCAAGGTTTGAAGCCAAAAGTGTCTCGAGGCCGGACCTGGACATCTGATGTTAACCAGTTCTTCAGTCATGCCAACTGATGTCAAAGACTGTTGATCTTCAGCAACCCGTGCTTGACGTAAAAGGCGACCAATGAGATCGAGTGGTGAGACTCGCTTATTTGGTTGACATCGTATCCAAATAGCGTAGATGGATGCACTGGATTGTCTAGTCCAGACTCGACTATTTACAGACTGCCGCCATATAGCTGGCATATTGCTGGCATAAAACTAAACTCACTCGCTCAAAGCATTGTGGTTTTAGATTTTGTATGCATATCATATCACGTCGTAACAATGTTGGAGGAGCACTAGTAGCGATGCAGGACAACGATCAATCACAATCAAAGCGAATTTGAGATTCGAACCCTTGGACTCAAATTGCGGGTCCGCTTCCCACGAATATCTGAAGGCGAAGTGTCTTTGATAAGTTGTAATCATTAAACTTAAAAACATGGAAATACACATACAAACTTAAGCTTACCATTCTGATCCAGCAGCTGGACGAAGAGAAGATAGTCCCTTGGTTCCTCGCCATCTTTGAGGGTGTCCAAGAATAATGTTGTGGCTGCTATTTCTTAATGGTCGTTTCCTTGGGATATAATCTTTATGATTTCCTCTGACTTGCCTATGGCATTAAACAAAGTACATAATGAGTACATCTTGAATTTGCGCCGAAACAATCTCATTCAGTCGTAAAAAGCGGTGATTGAAAATCACAAAAATGGTTCATCAAAAAGCATCGACAGGACTAGGTGTTTGCCAAAAAGGGTAAACATGTCAACCTCTATGGCCGCACTGCCACCTACTCATTTGTATGTCAACGCTGACATGAAAGAATCAAGAAGAGAGACCACACAATCCAGTAACAATGGACCAGATAATCCAGTGACCCTATAGCCCGTTTACTGATTTGTTGAGAATAAAGCTAAAGGTGATTACTATGCTCTTAACAAACAGGCGGAAACCATGGACTGTTATTTGGTTCTGGTGTACGTTTTAGTGGAAATTCGTATAACGATCTACGGATATAACAAACTAAAATAAGGTTTCCCTTTGAGTTCGTTTTAACCGTGATGTATTTGTTTTTCTGTCACTTTTATTCAGTGTGATCACGACCAGGGATGTGAACCACTGGATTAAAAATAACGCTCCTTCATTAGGGACAGATTCATGTTGTCATTTCAAATAGCTATGAGTTGATTTCGTAGTTTGGAGCGCGGAATCAAAATCCGTAGAATGTTAGAATATATACATATTTGGAATTTACACAAAACCATTTGAAATTTGATGATTGATATGCTAATAATGTGCTCACGTTGACCTTCAAACATGACAACAAATCGTTCATTCAATTTAAACCAAAACGAAGGAAATAACATGAAACTTCGGTAATATCCAGAATGCAAAACACTGTTGCTTCTCTGAGGCGAACCTGCTTGTAAAGTCATACCTAACAGTGAGGTTATGGCCCTGGAAAGCAAAATCTGGACTAAACCTCCTCAATTTAGGTGTCGCTTTCGCGGGAACGGTCAAGCTACAGTTAACACTGAATTTAACGTTCCCGGGACTGTCAATACACAAGAAAAACAAAGAAATGTGAATCGTCGTCTGATACCGTAGTCATGGTAGAACTTTAATAAATACATAACAATAAATGTTTGAGCCACAGACTGTTCACCGATAAGTCACAGTGATGGATCATGTGGAGGTGGATCAGGTCAGCCACGTCATCAGTGTAGTCCAGGACAGCAATCTAACTGGAACATGAGGCCTTGATAATCAGCATGCAGTGTGGTAGATCTGCTCGAACAGCCGGGCAGCTGAGGAGAAGGTGCCGTCGCCAAACACTGTATCTGCTGCACACGGTGCCCTGCACACATGCGCTCAGTGTTCTTGTTTCTCGTTAAGAACAGGCCGTGTGGAACAACGTTGTGGTGGCCTCGCAGTCGGGATACATCATCTCCGTAGATGGTTGGAATCGGCGTTGTCTCGTCTTTGCACGGTGGTTTAGCGTGGACGTGAAGGCCTCCACTTCCATCTCGAATTGCACTGGTTGGTGGGTGTGGTGCCACTGTAGTTAAATAAAATAGTCAAATAAGTCAAACAACAAACAAATTTAAGTCAAATCGGATATACATTTAATATTATAATCATTCATGATGATATTTTCTTACCTGCAAGACCGCTTGAAGTATGCCATTCTGGGTAATCACTGACGCTTTGCATCCGGCGATTACACAGCTCCTATACTTCTTTTCTCGGAGGGTTTTCCTACACCGGTTATTGGGGTCGTCCGCTAATCTGAAGTTCGGTAACCCGATGCTTTCATGGCAATTCGCTTTCGCAGCACTTCTAGCGCAACTTTGGTTTTTTGCTTTACCGATAAAAGGGAATATTGAACTTTCGCTTTCCAGTGCCGACACCAACAGTGACGTTAACCAACTGTTTCTTGATACTGTCTATTTTTTTTTCAACTATTTTATTTCTCTAAAAACCACCGTAGTACAAGAGCATATTTTAACAACAATTCATGTACAATTCATATGCATGCGTCTTAGACAGACAACTGAATACAATAACTAATTCCTTATACATATGTACAGTTCCCTATACATAAATAAGTGCATATATTAACAGGTGGATAAACACAAACGCTTATTAAAGATTGGCTAGCGTTTTTTTGCAACTGTATGATAAAATTTGACAAAAGCTGTTATATCTAGTAGTAGTTAGCGAAAGAACAAAGACTAATGTAGATATGTTGTTAAGACATTTTGTGGTGGGTAATTATTGTTCACGATATGAATTTAGTACTGGACATTTAAGAACATAGTGTAATTCATCACCGATTACATTTAAGTTACAAAGTGTACATCTTTCATCCCTCGGTATACTTTGCCATCTTCCAGTCTCAATTGGCAGGTTTACATTTAAGGTTCCAAGTTTTAAAATCGGCACAGAATCATATTTCGGTAAAAGTACGTATTTTTCAAAAGCAAGTAATTGTTTGTAAAGTTGATAAAACATTCCTTTCGGGCTAGATGTGATACTTTCCCTCCACTGTTGAATAAACTGGTCTGTTAAAACTTGTCAAGCTTTCAAAACTAGAAAAGACGTGGTATATACCGAGAGATTTACAAATACATCTGATAATCCAATTCTATCTAATAAACCCTTGATAAAGTGAATCCAAGGATCCGACTTAAATTTTTTATTGTATTTATTTAAACTGTAATTATATAAGACATGGGATAGTTTAAGTGTATCAGTATATGTTAATTTGTGCAAAAATTATAACATACGTTGGTATATTTTTATATATATTTGAGTTCTGCCAAATTCGCCGTAAACCATGAAATGCAGCGTAGATTTTCTTAGCCCAGATGCAAGTTTCAGACATTTTAGATGTATATTCTCTATTAGGTCAAGTTTTACAAATCCCCACACTTCTGAACCATAGGTTAAAATAGGTGTTATCATCACATCAAATGCCGATAATAAACAATCTAACGGTAAATTCAAATTTCTTGCTTTTTTCAGCAAGCTATACATAGCCTTTGTAGCGTGTTCGGTTATAGTTTTTATGCTAGTTACCATTCTTTTGTTTCTGTGTAGTTTTATACCAAGATATACATAACTGTCGACTAAACTAAGATTTTTCTCCCCAAATTTTAATATCATTTTCGATTTAGCCGCTGGACCTGAACCGAATACTAAAATGTTTGTTTTTGATACATATATGTTGGGTTGCCAAGTAGTGCAATATTCACAGAAGGAATCATGAGACTTCTGCAGGGCTTTAGGAGTAAGGGCAAATAAAACAGTGTCATCAGCGTAAAGTAACAATAAAAGTTGCAGCCAGATTTGTATTTCATTTTCATTAGATAAGTCCAAGTTAACTCCTTCGCAGCCATTTTCATACAGATTATTCTCTAGATCATTAAGAAAGATTGAAAATGAAAGTGGCGATACGTTTTCTCCTTGCCGTACCCCTTTTTGACATGGGAAATAATCGGATGTACTATTTTGTGTACCTACTGTTGACTTAATGTTTCACCCGATACATATTTTTACGAGCTCAAGAAATCTTCCATGTATACCGGACTTTTGCATCTTCGTCCATAGACCGATTCGCCAGACAGTATCAAATGCTTTTGTGAAGTCGATGAAGGCACACTAGAGCTTTTGCCTTTGTGATGTCAATATACTATTAATTGTCCGCAAAGTAAATATGTTATCGGATGTTGTAAAATGTTTTCTAAAACCTGCTTGAGCGGGAGTAATGATATTGTTTTGTTCAAGGAGAGATGTTAAACGCGAGAGGTAAAGAATTTTCCAACACAGCTTAAAACAGTTTTGGGTCTGTATGAACGTGGGTCAAGCTGGTCACCCTTGTTTTTGTATATCGGTGTTATAACTCCAATCAGCCAAGAATCGGGAATTTTACCTGTTGAAAAAACGAGGTTGAAAAATTGAACATAGAAGGGGGCAAAGATGACAATAGTATCGATTACGTAATCATTTTCAACATTGTCCAAACCCGCTGCTTTATTTCGTTTGAGTGTTTTGGCGGTAGACATAATTTCTTTAATGCTAATGTCTTTATTAAGAATACTACAGTCATATTCCAAATCGGGATGGGTACTTTCTTTGAAATTCAATTCATGTTCGCAGTAGTTTTCTTCATTTAGATCTCTATAGTATTCAAAAAAAGTTTTAGTATCAGGCATCGCGATGTTGTTTTTCGGATTTCTATCTTTGAGAGATTCCCAGTATTCTTTCGGTGACTTTTTCATTTTTTCTCTAAACATATTTTCAAGAGATATCCTATGTTTTCTGATATGTTCATTTAGGCATTTCTGGTAAGCTCTCGACTCGGTGCGTAGGTTTTGAAGATTAGACTGTGATTTATTTTCCTTAACTTTTCGTTTTGCTTTATGGAATCTTTTTCTGAACTTTCTACATTCTGTATTGAACCACGGCTTGTACTTACGATAGCAGGGTGTGTATTTCATGCGTTTTCGTGTCCCAAATGTTTCACGTACAGCATTAACAAGCACGTGCGCGAAGCGATCGGAGAGCGTGTTGATAATCGATAAATCTCCATGGATGGATACCGCTGTACGGACAAGGTTTGTAAGTTTATTTCCTTTATCCATGTCAACGTTTTGGCGTAAAGCTGCATTTTTATCGAGATTATAACGTTTAGGTTTAGCCGTTTTACTATGATCTACATGATGAATAAGTTTAGGTTCCTTTACTACATTGGGAATAGACTTGCTTTTCAATGTGAACAATAATGGGCAGTGAACATCTGACGTGAAGGGAGAAAAGTCTAAAACATCAAAATCGGTAAAAAGTTTTAAACTTTTGGGGGAAGTAATAACATAATCGATTAAACTTCTGTCATTTCAAGTTAACTTCCCAATATGATTTTCCACCCTTCCATTTACAATGAATAAATTCAAATTCTTACAAATATTTATAAGTGCATAACCAAAATTGTTTACTTTACCGACATCTTGAGATGATATTTCTAGCGGAAGGTTCAAAACATGTAAATATTTCTCAGGGCATATATCTCCAGTTTCATCTAAATCAAACTCTTCAGTAAGAAAGTCATCGTATACAGGATAATCGCATAAGGTATTTGTTCTGGAGTTGAAGTCATCCATTAGAGTAACATATTCACTTTTCGTAAGCTTATGCATAATTGAATGTTCTAGGTCAAGGAAAGTGTCATTCATATGTTTACTTCCTATAAGGTTAACAAATTCCGAATACTCTAATCTTTTTCTTAGTCCACATACATTAACACTTAAAAACTTAAGAGCGGAATATTTAAAATGCAGTCATCATCATCATCATCATCATCATCATCATCATCATCATCATCATCATCATCACGAGCATCGTCATCAGCATCAGCATCAGCATCAACATCAGCATCAGCATCAGCATCAGCATCACCACCACCACCATCACCACCATAATCATCATCGTTAGTATCATATGTGTCAACATCAACATTATCTACGACATATTTATCAACATCTACAATATTATCATCTTCATCAGCTATGTCAATGTGAGCGTCTATAGCATTTGTATCAACATCGTCGATTCCAGAAGCATCATTATTTACAATTCTGTTGATATATTTAAGTTTGTTATCAGTTTCAGAAACAACAATATTTACACTTCTGTTGATATGTTTCGTTTTGTCATTAATTTCAGAAACATCATTGTTTACACTTCTGTTGATATGTTTTATTTGTCATCAGTTTCAGAAACATCATTATTTACGTTTCTGTTGAGATGTTTAATTTTGTCATTAATTTCAGAAACAACAATATTTACACTTCTGTTGAAATGTTTCATTTAGTCATCAATATCAGAAACATCATTGTTTACACTTCTGTTGGTATGTTTTATTTTGTCATCTATTTGAGAAACGTCATTATTTACACTTCTGTTGATATATTTAATTTTGTTATCAGTTTCAGAAACAACAATATTTACACTTCTGTTGATATGTTTTATTTTGTCATTAATTTCAGAAACATCATTGTTTACACTGCTGTTGATATGTTTCGTTTTGTCATCAATGTAAGAAACTTCACTGTTTACACTTCTGTTGGTATGTTTTATTTTGTCATCAGTTTCAGAAACATCATTGTTTACACTTCTGTTGATATGTTTCATTTGTCATCAGTTTCAGAAACATCATTATTTACATTTCTGTTGAGATGTCTCATTTTGTCAGCGATTTCAGAAACATCATTATTTACATTTCCGACTACATACATCACCATCATATAACCCTTTCTGTTTGTCTCACCATCAAGACATGGGTATATACTTTTCCCAGCCCAGTATTATATATCACCCATCGCATGAGGGTGCCCAGAAAGAAGATGCAAGCCTTGTAATGATTGGCTCATTGTCACTCTTTTATGGCTATAAAAATCGCTAAATTTCAGGTTTTCTGGAAACCTTCAAAACTGAGTATTTCCCGGTCGTGGTAGAAAAAAATATTGTTTGAAAATCAGGTCACTCTTAATTGAAAATCACGGGCTTGAATTTATAAATTCATGATAACTGTATACAATTTTGATGTATCCTATTCTTCAAGTAGCTGTGTCGTTTTGTCTCCAGTATGAAAGTTGAACGACGAATGGCAACAAAACAAAGTAGACAGTTATTATAAATAATAAAATATTGGCACTGATTTGGGAAAGAAACACTCACGCACGCATACACAAACAAACAGTTCGACAGATAAATAATCACAACGTTAAAACTAACATATACAGGGTCCTGTCAAACTGTGAACAAAGCGATCATTACGCTACGATTGTCGTAAGACAGTGTTATGGTATATATCTTACGATAGTCGTAAGGTCGGCTGTTTTCAATACTACATTTCAGTGAAACGAAACTGAAAGTAGGATTGTATTTTCCGTGGCGGTTAACCGAGACCTGGTATTACCAGAATGCCCTTGTGTGAATACCGAATGTCATAATAAAGCTGAACAAGATATCAGTGATCAAACTGTGACAACAAGAAAAAAGGAAACACCTACTTTGAGGAAAACACATATGTGCAACCAAGGATCCACATCGAACGTGTCGAATGATAAGATCACGATAAACATTCTCCACAATGAACTTGATGTCAACTGCACTGTTGCCAAGCAACGGATCCACGCTTCCTTCTGCCATTACAGTTTATGGTTGGCAATAGAATAGCCTGGCTACTCTTCTGACAACATATACAGTATGGGACCCTACATTTTCTGTACAAACTGGTCAAGTGGAGCAAGAGCTGGGTATGGCCCGTCCGCTCTCCACAAAAGTCCACGTCAGCTTGGCTCCCCAATGTCTAATTATAGCATTTGTCTATTCTTTCATTGCAACATTTGTTTGCAAAGTGTGATAACTATCCAAACTGTTTTTATCTGTCTGCGATACAACGTATGACAAAAATCCCTTTCACAGAATCGCAATCTTCACTTTCGCTTCATAGACCTTCAAGATGGCTGCGTTTATGCGACACGCCCATGTTTCGAAAACGTTTAAGTGAATCAAACCTATAATTACATGTAGGTGGCAATGAAATTGGAAATTTGGCCAAACTACTACTCTATACAGACGGATTTTACGCTTGATGCGTATTGCTTGCATCGATGTACAGGGATTGAACCATTGTACAGTGATTGCATGAGTACACAGGGATTGAATCATTGTACATGCATTGAATCATTGTACATGGATTACATTTATGTACAGGGATTGAATCATGATACAGGGATTGAATCATTGTACAGTGATTGCAACAGTGTGCAGGGATTGAATCATGATATATGGATTGAATTATGTTACAGTGATTGCATCAATGTACAGGGATTGAATCATTGTACAGGGATTGAATCATGATGCACGGATTGAATCCTATACAGGGATTGAATCATTGTACAGTGGGTGCAACAGTGTGCAGGGATTGAATCATGATACAAGGATTGAATTATGTTACAGTGATTGCATCATTGTACATGGATTGAATAATTGTACACGGATTGAATCATGATGCAAGGATTGAATCGTGATACAGGGATTGAATCATTGTACAGTGATTGCATCAGTTTGCAGGATTGAATCATGATACAGGGATTGAATCATTGTACAGTGATTGCATCATTGTACATGGAATGAATCCTGATGCAGGGATTGCATCATTGTACAGTGATTGCATCATTGAACAGGGATTGAATCATTATACAATGATTGGATGTTTTCACCGTGATTGCATCAGACAGTGACTGAATCAGCAAGTTAGCAAGTCAGCAAGCAGAAGCAGCCAGTGTCTATCTTGACAGCATCTAGAAGTCACGCAAACTCTCTGCTGTTTGTAGAAACACTGGGACATAATGGTGGTTATAGTTGTATGTGCCCAAGCTGAAATCAAATTTAAGCACAGAAAACTAGAGACCTGGCGGTGTCCTTCCATTACGCAGACAGCCAGTTCGCAGACACCTTAAAACAACATTTACGGTTCAGTGAACAGATTATCTATCACCTGTTGCCTACACCTTATAATGGATTAGTCCAAATAAAAATACACAGGAACAAACTGAAGCTATATTATTTATTTTGAAAAGATGGCCGAAAAGACGGTAATTTGAATTTTTATTGCTGCAATATAAAAACAGTCTATTTTGATAAACATTTCGGTTTAACTTTCTAGTCTAACGGGAGTCGGCATCATCATATTGAAGTAGTAGAGAGAAAGACAGTCCGGGACCAGTTCCAACAAAAGCCTCTGCAAAGCCTTATTTACCAAATAAGGTTTTTGTCGGACCCTTAGCTCTTGCTACCATTTCCCCTACTATGAAAAAGTTTGAGACGCTAGCGGGGTACGAACGCCCAATGTTATACCTCTTAACCGACTGAGCTACCGGGGACTTGGCTGAAGTTCATCTATGCCGTGTTGACAGGAGGTAACACTGTACCGTACGGTACGATCAATAATTCCGCTCTTACAAACCCCCTACCTGGCCCATCCCTCAAGTAGTATAAGTTAGGCTCGTCTGCTTTGATGTCCACTTTATCTATGTTGTAAGTTTTGACTGACCATATAGGATCGGTGGCTCGCTTACGGCTATCACCCTCGTGTTCCCCCGGCTGGTATAGATACCTCACTAGGGCCCTATCTGGTATCTGTTTCTCCTTCCCACGTAATGGAGCAGCCGGCTCTGCAACTATTGATTTTAGTTTGATAAGCGTCTGCGGTTTCTTATCCGTGAGCCGGGTGACTTCATGGTTGATTGCCGACACCACCTTGGGTAACCTCGCGACCCATTCAGTCGATCGTTTTCCGGGTTACCATCTCCTAGCATACTGATGTCCGAATAAGCGCTCAGCCAAAGTCCTATTAAATCTCTCAACTATGGCTTTGGCTACGATGGGCTCCGCCGTGCCACGCCTGACCTTTGTATCGTGTTTGGCTAGCAGTTGTGACACGGCACCCATGAATTCCCGTCGGGGTCAACTTGCAGCTCTGTTGGCCACGCCAGCGGACTGGGCGCTTTGTATATGCGTTCGAATCCCTCTGGCTACCTGGGCAAAGAATCTTTTTCGTGGTCAAGGGCTCGGCTTCCTTTGTAGCGACTGGCTACGTCCACTACGGTTAAGGCATACTTGTACCTCTTGTCGTGGGGTAGGAACAGTAGGTCTGCCTGGTGAACGCTATTAGGTATGTTAATACCGAACCCTCCTTCTAGGCACGAAGCGTGGTGCCGGCAAATAGATCTGCCACAGGGCTTGTTTTCAAGCCACGCTTTGGCTTTCTCCGGGTACTCGCGCCATTTTAGCCAGCTTATCTACAGCTTAGCTCCTTTCCAGTACCCACGCTGGCTATAGTAAATAGCCTCAAACTTTCTCTGGTTCCGCGGACATGTTCAATTTTCTCATGTCCATACGCGTGCGTGTTTATCCCATCAATAGCTATCCAACGTTTAGTGTCCATAGGTGACAGGGACGTCTTGTTTATAGTCAGTCCGTATATCTTATGACCATCACTTCTAAGTGTGTTCATTTTATGCCTAAAGGTACGGGTCTTGAACAGGGCTTCCTTTGAATCTGGCGGTTTGATGTGTTGTTTCACCACATACTTCTTAACACCCTTAGCCTTCCGGATTTCACCATTGTCGGCCTTCAGTATGGAGTACATCTTAGGCCTCAACCCTATGTACTCGGCTATGGGCGTGCCAGCACACTCGTCCTTCATCTTACCTAGGACCTTTTTATTTACCGTACTGTGTATGACATGGTCCTTAGGGTAGTCGCTGGTGTCATACAAATCGAGGTGTTTTTCCATGTCAACGTACACGTCCTCGGTTCGAATCTCCATCAGCAGGGAATCCGTGTCAGTGTACAGAACTTCACACCTGTCGCCGTACTGTTTCTTAAGTTCGTTGTAGTAAAAGTCGTACATCAGGTGTTTGGATAAATCGAGGATGCTCATCCCCACGTAAACAGGCCGGTTGAATTTTATGTGGCTTTTCTTCATGTGTAGGGCAACTCAGGTCATCGGTGAATATCTTGCTACGGTTGAATGCCGACTGGCTATCAGTCTCCTGAGCTTGTCTTCCTCATTCGACCGAACCAGCTTCACGGTCACGTTTCCTCAGGTTCTCCATAGTCTTACCAAACACCGAAGTTGTTCATGAGCTTGTAGAGGTTTTTCTCAAAGTCACTGGTGGCCAGCTGGAGGTCCGTGTTCATTCTGATGTAAGTATTCCATCCAGGGGGCTCTGGGTGAACACGAGCACCCTGTGTATTTTGGTCAGCCTCATACCCAACGACAGGTACAGCTGTAGGTTGCGATAGTGAACGATGTACTTGGTCTTATTCATTAAGTTAGGCACGAGTTTTCAACGTTGTCACACGCCCACCTAATAAGTTATGTTGGTACTCAGACATCCAGTCTGGGTTAACCCTCATACGTTCGGGGCCAGGGGGTAGCTATTGTGTGATGCGTGTGTAATTCCTTGGGGTATTCCAAGTCAACCTCGAGGATATAACCTTTGTTTGAATCCGGTGCGATGCTCATAACATCGACCTCATGTGACGCCCATTCGAATCCCCTGTGGGTAGATACTGGCTCATGGGCCCAACCGTACAGATTGTTGGCGCCGAGGTAGAGAATGTGATTGGTTGGCTTGCTAGGGTCGTAGCCCTTAACGTATTGATTATTTGCTTTCGCGTATCGTTTGGTTGCCATGGAGATCCCACCTCGCAAGCCTTTCTCAATGAATAGGTGCATGTCGTAATCAGTAAGCAATTCCAACTTAACTCCGGTCTTTTTAAGCAAGGCATCCCACGACAGACCTGGGCTGGTGTAATACCATGCGGGGTCGAGTTTATACTGCTTGAAACACGTCCGCCTAAACGTCTCAAACACGTCGGCTAACAGCAGTACATCCGTCCTCAAGTACAGGTCGTGATAATCCCCCAGGTTCTTACAACCCAGTTTATTCCATACGTTAATCGCGTGCGAGTAATCGTCTTGGGATATTTCCGAGTCTGTCAGATTGCTGTAAAATTCTCTGATAGGGGGTAGTCTGGTCTCGGTGAACTTGGGCCAACTATCCATGTACTCATAGGGGTACACACCCTTCCTCATAAGCAGGGGTCTAGTCTCGGCGTCTGTGTATCGGTCGGTGATAGGGGAAGGTATCATTGGCCTTGACCAGACTGTCTAATGAAGACAAGAGAAATTGTACTGAATCTATGAACCTAAGACCGTTTAAGCTGAAGGAGATGTATCTCTCCATGTTGTTGGGAATGCACGTTATATTACCATCGATTTTCGCGATGGCCTGCATGATTAAGTGAGAGTCGTACCCTCTCAAGTTGTGAAAGACAACGGGGATGTTTATTGTCTTAGGGTTGATTCTAAGCTTGAGGTTACACGTGCTGTGAGCCGCGCCTCTATACTTACCGGTTACGTGGCAGTGATCTCTCACCGAATCACCATTCAGTGGTGAGTCACACACGTGACAGTTAGTGCTACAGGCGTGAGCTAGCCTGTCGGCTCGGGTCATACGCATTGGAGCGACTCTATACAGTGCATTCCTAATAATTTTTTCTTCCTCCTGCAAACACTTTAGAAACCTTTCAGCCGCGTCAGGGCCCCTATACACTACCGGAGCTTTCGTTTCCCCGTCACAACGGACGACAATGTATCCAAACCCGCAGGCTTCATGCTCTTGTGTTTTGTGGGTGGTGGGAGCCCCGCCTGTGGGGGTATCCCCAGCGCCGGCGGCAGCCTCAACTGTTGGGGTATCCCCAACAACTGGTTTGACCAAGGCTTCAAAGTCAGCGTATATGATATAAGGCACGGACATTTGGTGCTTGTGGTTGCCGAATTTTAGGATATTGTCACCTTCCTCAGGCATGTCGACCCGTAT